AGCCGGTGTCGTTCGTCCCGCAGCGCTGATAAATGCTCTATCATTTCTTGGACCAACGCGTTTGTATACCGGCGCCGGATACTAGATGGACGCAGTTCGTGGTATTGTACATCTGACCCTTCAACATCTCTCTAGGATCTGAATGACTGCATCTTTGAATGTGAACTTTTCTTCCCGCTGAATCGAATCTAACTTATTGAGGGCTGAATTGGGAAAAGATTAGCCAATCATTGTCTTGTTCTCTTCAACACACCTTTGAACCTCATCTCTATTCAGGCCCCGATCGAGCGACTGGAGCAACGGAATATCGAGAACCACAAGGCAATATGCGATGCCACGCTTAGTTCTTCACTATACTCACAGTCTCTGCTGGCCATTACCATACGAATCCTCTCTAGTACCAGATTCATGTTTCCGCCAAAAAATATCAGGCTGCCAACCTCTTGCTTACTTGACAGCAGACAGGATACATTCTAGCCCATGCCATTGGCTTTTCTTTGATAATCCATGATTGATGCTTCCTTTCTGTTCTTTTTCCTTTTTGCTCGCAATAGGGCTATCATTCTTGTCTTCGCCAACATATTCTGCGGGTCCACCAGTTTCATCAATAGAAGCCCATTCTATTGAAACACCTATTCAACGACCATGGCAGCACCTTTCGTTGTGCTTTTATGCTTAAGCCACCCATATATAAGATGCCTCCCTTTCCATATTTTCATGGTCTCTACGGTGCCAGAAAACAAGCAAATCTGTCATATTTGTCCATTCAAAAACATATACAACAAAATACCATTCTTTGCCTCTGCTATTTTCAACCGCCACCATGAAGCTCCTATCCTTGATGCTTGCCACTCTTGCTGCCACTACTGTGCAAGCTGTCAGTGTGCAAAAGTGGTGCTATCTCCCTGGCCAGCCTTGTGCCATGATGAAGCGTGCGGCCGATGTAACCGGAGAAGTCAAACGCTCAGCTGATGCCTTGGCCGAGGCCATGGCAGAGGCTTCTCCAGCCAAGTTGCAGAAATGGTGCTACTTGCCTGGCCAACCATGCCAGAAGATCAAGCGAGCCGCCGAGGCTGTTGACGAGGTCAAACGCTCCGCTGATGCTCTTGCGGAGGCCATGGCAGCACTCGATGACGAGTAGTGTGCCCGAGCGTGGCATGTCGAAGTGGCCTTTTTCCCGGCCACGGCTTCTGCCCTTCCAGGGCCTGGAAGGCATCTACACGTTTCTTTCCTCTCTCGGTTCTATTTTTGCTACTACTTCGCTTCTCTCTGGAGCTCGGTCCGATTTATGCTACATATGCAATTTCTTGACGGCATTCCTGCTACGACCATGGGGCTTACGTTATACCAACCAGCAGCAATCTCTACGATCTAAGAACGTGGCATTGGCTGAGTCACTCGCTAACTTGATTCTCCGGTGCCGTCCATTCCTTGTGTGGTGGTAGTTGCGTCAAGTTCTTTCCTTCTTTTCCTCCTCCCTTCCTTCAGATCATGACCCTATCCATGACTCTCGCAGCCAGGAAGTTGTGTGCCAGTAGGAAAGGGGCGGAGGGTTGAACGACATTTGGCAACCCTTGGGTCAAGATATCAGGGTGATCCAGCAGGATGGAGAAACAGTATATAAATTTTGCTCTAGCATATGCATAGACCTCTGCTCCATTTTCCCGACTCGTTCAGTGGGATGGCACTAGTCAGAAAATAAAACTTCCTTCTTCTGGTCTGCATCAATTTCGTATGAACAATACACAGCTCAGGTTATATAAACATGACATTACCATAGAGACACCATGCCCAGTGAGTTTGTGTTATGGGCCTGTGATTTATGTGGTATTCTATATCTATGCTGCGCTGTCATTTTTTCATGGCCTCCCAACTGCGCATTCGAAAATATTGGAGCCCCTAAAGAGGAGTGCACAGGCATATTGACGTGACAGTGGTTGGGTTTCCGATACATTGTGAGCAATAATCCGTAGCTGTGATGGATTCACACCCCCAGGGAGCAATCGTCGGTACACATTCTCAATCATAGTACTTGGGTGATGCCGAATGCTCATACTCCCACCATCTCTGGCCCTGGGAGCGATAAACAGGATCATTTGCAAGCCTGTATGTTGATCCTGCCGTGGGCTCGCTTGCTGCACTCCCGTCTCTTCTGTTGGAGAGTTCTTTGTCATTCTGAGCGACAGCCCTATAGCCATTGATCATGTATGGCTCGGCATACTGGCTGACGCTGTGGTCAACGCCCTGGTCTAAATCATACATATCGAGATCATCAACCGTGCGAGTCTCATGCGATGTGCTCCAGGGATCAGACATGCAGGTAGCCTCGGTCTTACCCTGGTCGCTGTGGTATCGGTGCTCCGGTGACAATTGCCACATCTGGATTAGGCGTGACCGTTGTTCTGGCATTGCTCCTTCGTAGAGCTTCCATTGTCTTGGCAAAAGTGTTGATGGATCAATGTTGTGATACCTCAGTGTGTCACTTGCTGTGGGGTGCAGGTTCATAGTGCTGGCCGGGTTCTTCCTGATACTATATAACTCTGGGTCGGGGGGAACAGGAACAGAGCATAGTGATTGGTCGCTGGCAATGGGTGTTGATATTTTGAGTGTTATACTCCTCTCGAAAAGCGCAGCGAGTTCTTGCTGGAGTTGCATGTTACTTGCGGATGCCGACAGTCGGCACTACAAGCCCTTTTGGTCAGGAGCTGAGTTCGAAGCAGTGTTGGACTCTCTACCTGACTACAGCATGAAAGTTCGATCAATGGGGCGAGTGTTTCGGAACCCTTCGTCCCCTGGCTGCAGAAGAGACACTGAGGAGGAAATATAGACTCCATGGCAGAGTTATTGGTCCAGGGAAAAAGATTCAAGTGCGAGAATGCCCCGGTGAATGAAGATCAAGCAACTGGTTTGAGTGGGATCCCAGTTATGCATACATGAATAGGAGGGAAGGAGAGAACGTGATTGTCCTTTGAGCAAAGTCACTTCTTCTGAGAGACAGCCGCAGTGATTGACCAGGAGTAGTGGATTGATACATATTTAAGGCACTGGGTGCAAAGCGGGCAGTGAGAGCACATGCTGCCCAGTGCCCAAACGATCATGGTTCTCGTTGGGCACATGAAATAAGAGGATCAGGTAATTTACCGAGAGTTCACGGCTGAATATAGTGAAGGTACTGTACAAGCGCAAGTATACAAGTGGGTGCTAGAAAGTAAAGATTTTTACTAGTACCTATTACCATGCCATCCTGGATGGTTACTGGCTGTCCGGCACTTGGAAACAGTTTTATCCAGATGGATTCAGGCTTGGAACAACGTCATCTTACTTGATACCCTACCACGTGACTCGCAGACTCCTAAAGCAGCGAGTGGTCCGTGCGACCTGAGCTAAGGCCAGGCTGCTCCTTCCAGTCTACTACCTTAGGCATAGGTAACGAACTACGCGCGTCAGCCGACTTGCTTGAAGTCACCATACCTTTCTTCACGACCTTCCAGATCTATTGTCCCGAACTCATAACACTCTATACCCAGTAGCCATCCACCTACACCTGACACTTCCTCCACATCCTTGTATCCCGATTCGCACCAGTTCTGTGACTGTTCACAATCGCCATGGTTCGTTTAGGCTGTCTGCTTGCTCCTGACAACCCTGCTCCTACGATACTGACACCTTCATAATCTAGACATCTATTGGTACTGGTTATGATCTTTCAAACTCGGTGTTTTCGCCCGATGGCCGTAACTTCCAGGTAAAGTCCTGTGCAAGTAATTCAGGGGGCTAGGCAAGTCATTAACTATCTCCTACAGGTAGAATATGCGGTCAAAGCCGTCGAGAATGGGGGAACGGCCGTTGGCATCAGATGCAAAGACGGTGTTGTACTGGCGGTGGAGAAGATTATCAGCAGCAAACTTCTGAAGCCTGGTGCGAACAAGAGGATAGCAACAGTTGATCGCCATGTCGGCATTGTATGGTGTTCACCTCGTGCCTAGATAAAGGCGTATTGCTCATTGCTAAACTTGCTTATGCTAACATGTGTGCTGGTGTTGATGTAGGTCTCGGCAGGATTAGTTCCCGACGGTCGGCATTTCGTCTCGAGAGCTCGAGACGAGGCTTCTTCGTGGAGAAATGTCTACAAGGGACCTATACCGGTCTCCGCTCTATCGAACCGGCTCGGCAGCTACGTACAGGCTTACACGCTCTATTCGAGCGTGAGGCCCTTTGGAGTGACCGCTATCATCGGAGGCTGGGACTCTGAAGCGGAGCTTGCGGTTGACGGTCAAGTTGGAAGCGGACCCAAAGCAGGTTCTGGTGGGAAGGTTGAGGGTGCAAAAGCCGGAGGTCCAGGCTTATACATGATCGAACCGAGTGGTCTGTATTGGGTAAGACCACCCGGCTTGCACGGCTTTGAGTTGATGATACATGCTGATAATGTGAAAGGGTTACTATGGCGCCGCAACTGGAAAGGGCAGACAGGCGGCGAAGGCTGAGCTGGAGAAATTGGACCTGAGTGCCGGCAATCTCAGTCTCATTGATGGCGTGAAAGAGGCAGCTCGCATTGTCTACGTCGCTCATGAAGACAGTAAGGACAAGGACTTTGAACTCGAAATGACTTGGATTAGTTCACTAGATGGTCCAACGCAAGGAAGACACGAAGAGGTACCGAAGGAGCTGCTTGAAGAAGCTGAGCGGGCGGCAAAAGCGGCTCTCGAGGGAGATGACGATGAAGATGATGCGGCGAAGGGCGACGCCATCGACAACGAACGCATGCAAGAGTGAAGTTTTCAGGTTCTAATCAATAGATGAGCTGGCGATTTCCGCGAGAATATACGGCTTCTCTTCAATACCTCAACCTATCATGATAAATGGGATGGCCCTTCCTTGACATCGATCTAGTAAATAAGGCTTCATCTGCTAAGATTTTCATCGATTGTAACCCTCGATTAAGAACAAGAAGAGTATCTTCCCAATTCGGGCCATATACCTTGTCAGCCGCTTGATCCACCCTAAATGTTTCTGCCTTCAGCCCAGTCTCTTCTCTTTGCTCCGAGTTCTACGGCTGCATTGCCCCAATCTTCACCATGGTTATGCATGCCCTTTTTACCCAATCCGGCTCTTTCCAGGCCTTGTTCCTCGTTCAGTACAGTAAGTACGCCAAATATGACAGGCACGCCCGTCTCTAGCTGGACGCGCATCAGTCCGTGAGTCACAGCATCGGCAATGTATTCGAAATGCATGGTTTCCCCTTTGATCAAAACACCTATCGCAATTATGGCATCGAATGGCTGGGGCGTATCAGTAGATGGAGGCTGAGTAGATTGGTTTGCAAGGTCTGCAGACGAAGAAGAAAGCAAGTCCGTGGCGCTGATGGCCTGAGCAGACGCCGAGCTTCTGGCAGCTTGAATCTGCGAGGCGGCATATATCCTAGGAGTACAGCATTAGAGGAACTACTACCGAAAAAACAGTTGGCTTTCCTTCGCGCTCGCTTACCGCTGCGCTGCATAGGGCAACTCATAGCTGCCTGGGACGGTATGCAATGATATATTCTCCTCCAGAACTCCGGCTGAGAGGAGGCTTCGTTTGGCCCCGTCAACAAGAGGGCCGATTATCTCCATGTTCCACCGCGCGTGAACAATTGCAATTCTGAGCCCCGAGCCTACAGGGATCAGTGTCAAGCAACAAGGCATGTGCAAAATGCTGAAGTGGGGTAGTCCTCACCGTTGTGTACCTGTGCGGCTCCTGGACCTTTAACTGTAGTCATTTTTGTGTTGAACTGAGGATTGTAATCTGCAATCTGGTTACTCTGTTGGATTTTTCAGACTATTTGTACGAGGTGTAGAGTTTACAGCGAACTGGCAGTTGGCCGTTTGCGGTTGGGATCCGGAAGTGGGGTCCGCACCGGCCCCGCTAAGCCACTCCATAGTGTTACTACGTAGGTTTGCAAGCTTTGATATATACGTGTATCAAGCAATCCTGGCTAATCCGGAGGGCTTTTATAGTGGCAATGAGCTCATTGCTCGCATGTATCTCAAGGCAAGCTACGCAAAAATGATCATTCTCGAAAATAGACGAATACTTCATTCCAGGGCTGGCATCTTTTGTCGTTAAAAAAATGGTAGTCATTTGTATGAAGGCTATGGTAGAAAATAGAACAACACGGCCCCCTATCTGCTGTGTACTGGTAAGACCACATAGTCAAACTACTCGACGGTCACCGATTTGGCCAGGTTCCGAGGGAAATCAACATTCAAACCCTCTGTGACCGCAAGCCAATAAGCGATTAGCTGAAGGGGGATGACATTGATAAGCCCTTGGAGACAGTCGACTGTCTTAGGGACTTCAATCTTCTCCGTCTGAGCTGAAGAAAACTCCGGATCATCGTGGTTGCAGATGACGATAGGGCGACCTCCACGGGCGATAACTATCATATGGTCAGTCTATCCTGAAGGGCCCATATGCCAAAGAATTTCAGGTGCGGGAAGGCGGTTGTACTTACCTTGCTGGTAAGCATTCAAAGACTTGATGAAGATGTTGTCTCTGGTGAGAATCATGATGATTGGCAGGTTCTCGTCGACTAAAGCAAGAACACCGTGCTTCAATTCACCCGACATGACAGCTTCGCAGTGGAGGTAGGAGATTTCCTTGATTTTCAACGCGCCTGAAAGAAATTAGTAAGCACCATATAGCGATCCCCAAAGTCACAAAGCATACCTTCAAGGGCCGTAGGAAATTGGCCACCTCTACCAAGCAGAAGCAAACTCTTCTGGTCCTTGAAAAACTTTTCGCACATTTGCTTGATAGGCTCGTTAAGTTTCAGGATCTCTCTGAACTGGTCGGAGATCTTGGAAAGTCCCTCCATGATCTCTTCGCGTCTCTTTTGCTTGGAAGCGCGGTCTTCGCTCAACGAAAGGGCAAACATGACCATGGCCACGAATTGTGAGGTATAAGCCTTGGTTGAAGCAACGCCGATCTCAGGACCCGCATTGATGTGAACACCGCAATGGGTCAAGAGCGAGATAGAGGAACCCACAACATTCACAATACCGACAGTCAAGGCACCTCTTTCGAGACAATACCGAAGTGCCATAAGTGAATCCGCAGTCTCTCCAGATTGGGAAACAAAGACACACGTGTCATCGCGGAAAATAGGCGCCTGTCTGTCTAGAAAATCGGAGGCAAGCTCAACGGAGATAGGAATCTCAGTAAGCTCTTCGAAAACTCCACGCACAGCCATACACGAATGGTAGCTCGTTCCGCAAGCAACGAAGATGATTCTTCTGCACCGCCGAATGGTAGAAATGTACTGTCGAAGCCCGCCGAGCGTGACCTGCTTGTTCGCAACATCCAGTCGACCTCTCATGGTGTTGACCACGGATTCTGGTTGCTCAAAAATCTCCTTTTGCATGAAATGGTCGAATTTTCCTTTCATGATCTCCTGCAACTCGAGTTCGATTGTCTGAATGGCGCGGACATTGGAGGTTCCATCATCTTTGGTCAGACGGTGAATGTTGAGCTGGCCCTCGTGGATATGAGCTATATCATCATCCTCAAGGTAAAGGACCTTCTTCGTATGTTCGACAATCGCCGATGGGTCGGAAGACAGGAAAAATTCTGCCGGCTGGGGGACACCATCGTCAGACAGGAAAGCACGAGACTGAGAACGATGCAGGAGGGACTTGTCAGGGGGAGCGAGGAGCCCGGTGGCGGACTTTTTGATGGCTACGTTTTGAGAAGCCTGCTCAGCCGGAAGGGCACCGTCTTCGGAGAACTCGACGTCCACGAAATCAACCTTCATTTTCTTGGATGTGCGGACACCGATGACCAAGGGAGACCCTTTACGGGCAGCGATGACTTCATGAGGGTAGTGCACGGATTTGATGAGAAGACCAAAGGCACCCTCAAGCTCCTTAACAACAGCCTTGGCCAGTACTGTAAACTCGATGTCTGGCTGTTGGTCGTAAAGATATTTCGTGAGCTTGGCGATACACTCAGTGTCTGTCTCTGTTTCAAACCGGAAGCCTTTACTCTCCAGTAGAGCTTTAAGCTCCTTGTAGTTGGTGATGATACCATTGTGAACGACAGCGAACTCCCAGTTCAAGTCGGACCTATACACTCGGGAGGACAGTCGTATGCTTTAGCCAAAGAACCAGAAGGCAGCCGGAGACGTTTGACATACCTATGTGGGTGGCAGTTCTGACGAGATGGTGTTCCGTGGGTGGCCCAGCGTGTATGAGAGATACCAGCATGAGATTCAAAGGTCTTAGTAAGGTCGGGTTTCGACTCTTCGATAAGCTCTTTCAACTTTGCAACCTTGCCAACCTCTTTAAAAGCACAGACTTCATTCTTCTTGTCACCATCAATTGCAAGTCCGGCAGAGTCGTATCCACGGTATTCAAGTCTCGATAGACCTACGCAGCGTTAGGATGGCACGATACTAGATCCAGCAGGTACAGGGAAACTGACCATTGAGCAAAGTATCAAGGATATATTTGCGGTCCCTCTCAACGAGGTAGTTAATGTATCCGAAAATGCCACTAAGCAGTACATTCAAGTCAGAGCAGCTCGGCCCGCACTATCAGGAAAGCAGAACATACCACATGGTTGGGGTCCGAACACAACGTGATAAAGATCTAGGCGATATTGTCTTTCGATTGGAAATGCACTCGACTCAGACTTTGCTTAAAGTTTCGTCGATGGATGCCAACTGTGGGAGAGCATGTTAGACCGAGCGGTGATTCTTTGAGGCGCAAGCGACAGATAGGGGCGTGCGGGGGAGGTGTTTCAAAGCGGTTCCAACATACACTGCCAGTATCTTTTGGTTGAGATAGAATCAGGATCTTGTTGGTGGGAGAGACGGCTATTATCAGGGTAGTGAGAAAGGAAGATTCGGAAAGGCAAGGGATAAACAGAGTAGGTAGAAGTGGAAGGGTATTAGTAGTAACTGAAGGGAGCAACAAACAACGAAGGTCGGAAGGAGGGGGAGCTGCTATGTTTTATGTGGTAAGATTGACCCACAATTAGCACACAGACCAGGGAAGCTGCTACAGGCACTCCAGGGCACAACCATTTATCAAATGAGGTGGCAGCCAATAAACCCACTCTCTGCGCCTCACACGGTCTATTGGTATGTTTCACCCGTGACTCAGCTCTGGACAACCGCTGGGTAATGTTGGCATCTTCCCCGCGGTACTATATATGTAGGCATGGAGGATTGCCGAACAATATGAAACCAGACTGTATCTACTACGTATTACAGGTACTCTCCTAGTTGCTCTACTCCACCGTTCGAAATGATGAAAATCAAGTACCCAGTTTTTGACCGACTAAACTGAGCAGGTCAAGGTTTCGAACACATGGCTATGGTCGGAGTATCACGTATACTGAGTAGAAGCAGTCTATCGGTAGTACCGTACAGCTAAAAGTTCATCACATAGTTTCAAGTACTGGGCTATTTAGAGGGCCACGCCGCCACAGTCCTCTAAACATAGCTTTCTAATAATAGGCCACAGGCGTCTTAGTGCCGATTTGCGCCGTGGTAGGTAAGTCGCTAGTTAGCTTACCAACTGACTAAGTAAGACCTTGTAACTTAACTTATTTCGCCCTTTCAATCCAATAAAGGTCAATATCACCACACCAAGAGGTAGACAATTGTATGGTTGCTTGGCTAAGCTGAGTCTCTTTGGGAATACCTATTTTAACTGTATGCAAAGCCTTCTGCTTACAGAAATGCAGCCCCTAATATAGTACTCGAGTAGTGTCGTATCAAAAGCATATGGGTCTTTACCACCCAGACGAAGGTTTTATAGGCAGTTTTACAAGCTCAAATGAAGAAAGGGGAAGGGGTGCCCCCCCGGGGGCACAATAGGGCATGGTCTCCCATTCGAAGTTTCTTCTATCTTCTCCTACTGCTAGTACGGAGTAGTTAGTATGTTTATCTATAAGTTACGTACCGGTACTCAAGATGTAGCCGCGGTAGGCTGAAACTCCGTTGGCCAAGACATCCATCCCCACGTCCCCCTTTCCTTTCCTCCCGGCAGACACACACCTGGAGTAGTAGTCATTTGAACTTGACCGGATTGTCGGTGGCACAGTACCAGGCGGTGCACCGGTGGGTCGATCAGAGGATCCTTTCTGTTTCTGTGACGGCACAAGGCTCTGAAAAAATAACGAGGCTCCATATGCAGTCTACTGAGTATAACCGATTCTCTATCAGGAAACTATGTACAGGTACTCATATTGCCTCTCCAAATCACTGGTGCTGAAGTTTGACTGGGGCTTCAGGGCTGAGTTAACTCAGAGCCACCGATTATGGTCACTACACAGCTGAAGACATTTAGTATATGTCAATTTTTGAAATAAATCATAACAACAAGCATCTACTGAACTGGTGGAGTTTTAACTGCGCTGAACCAACAGACAACCTAGTGAAATAACTTAAGAATTGCTGGACAAACCACAATTGTTAGATGACATATTTTGCTTAAGGAACCCAATTTATAGACATGCTCTTTATACTTGTATATAGTAATTGAAGCTATGATTTCTATATTTTGACCTTTAATCACCAAGCAATTTTCCTAACAAGTTGTACTTTAGCTGGCCAGGCCGGTAGGCTGATCAGCCAATCCTTTCCTTCTCTTCCACCTCTGATGATGAGATAGCTCCAAACGATTGCCACAAAGGCGCTGGCAAGCATCACATGTCGACTTCGTCCAACAATGGTAATCAACATCGGGTTCACACCATGTCCTGTCATCACATCTCAGACCATCATACGGTACCAGGTTTTCGCAGGGCGGACACACCTCAGCATCACATCCTTGATACGGTGCAGAAGGCTATGACTGTGGGTATATAATACTGAGGACAACAGGAGGCATGTTTAATCATTGATACTGTATATACGGCATAAACTTGGGCTTGCGAATTGATATTAACTAGGGTTCATGCCAACGCGCTTGACTAAGCACCAATAAGTTATTAACTAGTTATTAATTAACTAGCTAAGTAACTAGACATCTACAAGCAGGGATGAAGACCCCTCTCATAATGGCGGGGTCACGATGTCATTCTCGAAGGATTGGTGGGGGCGGTCATATTTCGCAGACTGACTCGGGCTGGGTGGCGAGACATTAACCACCCTTAAGCTGGTATACTGTATTTGACTCGCTTGTCTTCAGTTCATTTTGCTGGTAAAATCGTGTCTTCCGTACTAAGGACTATGATAGCATCCTAACGCCAATAACATACTATATACTCTTATATATGCACTGCCAACTTAATGGGCATGGATGCCGAGGGTAACGTGTGCCAACGGTAAACCGAAATATAAATTCCAAAAATATTTCATGTCAATATTAGCATATTATAAACCAGCTACGTATCCGGTATCTCCAGCATTCCCTACTCAACCTGGGCCCACAGTACTCGAGACTACTCTACATACCTGCAAGAGCATTATCTTGAACTGGTGATAAGTCCACTGCTGTTACAAAATAAGCATCGGGATTGTCTCCTGAGTACTTGCTTATCTGCAATGATCATGGCATAAACACACAACACTCCGCTAGTCGGATGTCTCAGAATACCGACTGTATATGATTTAATCTCCAGAATAATGCGAGAAACATACTCTAAACAACACTAGTGCATAACTTTTACGATTCTCAGCAGGTTATTCTCCCCTACTTATCGAGGAGAAAATCTCCGCTCGAGTGCAGCGTGCCCTACCAATTGTCAAAGCCCGCGGTAGGTATAAGCTCTTGCACAATGAAGTACCTTACAAATGCAAGCGATGTGTGCGACCGCTTGTTGGGAATATTGATACTCATACATGGCAGATGGACTGGTCATAGAAAAAGGATATTGGGAAGAGTCGCGCGCCGATCTTATGACAGGATGATCATAAAGCAAGGCGATAAAGGGAGAAAATTTGCGGCGATTGATACTATGGAAGTTATCTTGTTCGTATGTAACTTATAGTTACTGTACTTTTCACCCTAACAAACGGAGTAACTTACTTACACCCCGCCGCTTCTGTGGTCAATTTTACCCGGCGCGTTGCCAAGGTCGTCGCGTCGGTATGGGTACAGTACATCATTTTATCTGTGACTGATTAAAATATCCTCCCTCCTACCTACCTTTTTTCAGGCCATTCAGCGTGCCACCCGCTTTTTTTTTCTCTCTCTACTATTATTGCATTTCATACGGATTTGTTTTGGGCCATCTATCACCTCCAGCGTCCAAGTCATTTTCCATCTCATTATACGTAGCCCGTCCGCTCTTCCCAAGGGTTGCGAATTTGACTGCTCTCGTTACCGCCTTTCGTTCCAGGAGAGTTTCCTGGCAATACATGCCCATTAGACACGGGACCAATATCAAGGATGCGGCTTGGTACTCGCATTTATCTTGATTCTGGCTGGTAGCCATTTCTCATCATGTCGCGCACTTCAGCAGGTTTTGCAGACTTCTTTCCCACCGCTCCGTCAGTTCTACAGCAGAAACGCAAAGTCACCAAGGACAAGACCCACAACAAGGTTCGTTCGAATGAAGATACAGACCACGAAAGACTCGCATGTTCGACAGAGGCTCAGAATGTCTCTGATTCGGGTGTGAGCACGGCAAGCTCAGGTTCAGGGAATGATCTACCTAGGGAAACGAGACCTGCATTTTCCGATACGGCCGCAGATGGATCCTCAAGTGCGACAAGCAAGAGTCTTACCACGCCTCACGCTTCCGCAGCACCTCCCGGCGCAACAAGTGGCAGCGAAGGACGCCTGGATACGCTTACGCCGCTTACAAATGCAGAGCCCTCACCCACCCAGAAGGCCAGCCCTGGTCGAGCCAGAGAAACGGCAACAGCTGGGGTTCTTTCTAGAAATCCTAGGACCGGTGAACCAAAGCCAGCCATCGCCTTGCTACAAACTCCGCCAACACCGGAGTCACAGGGGCGCTCGACCGGAACCTTTAGAGGCTGGAAAATAGCCTTAGACCCCGAGAACGAAAAGCGGACATCAAAAGACAAACGCAAAAAGGCGCGCTATGTGGAGATCATGTCCCATGGACAGGATGATAGACCGCCGGATCCTCGACTGGTCATAGTAAATTATGCGCGTGGTGCCGGCTGCAAGCAGAAAACAAAATTCCGTCCAGCCCCATATACTTTGCGACAATGGGTGTACGATGCTTCTACAACAATCGGGCCTGGGCCCCCGGTCCAGATAGTGGTCACTGGGTTTGACCCTTTGACCCCAATCGCGCCAATTAATGCTCTTTTCTCCAGCTTCGGAGACATCGCGGAGATAAATAACCGTACTGATCCAATCACCGGCAGATTTCTCGGGATTTGCTCCGTCAAGTATAAAGATAGTGTCTCATTCCGCGGAGGTGGCCCACTACTCGCAATGAATGCCGCAAGACGAGCGTACTGCGAGTGCAAGAAGGAACAGCGTATCGGAACCCGGAGAATTCGAGTCGAATTGGACCGGGACGGGGTTGTCTCGGAGAAGATAGTGTCAAGAGCGATTGACTCCCAGAGGATGGGATATAAGAACTGTCTTTCTGTTGCAGAAGATACAACGGCTGGCCCCTCCGTCAATCAGAATGAGCCCCCCCCGACAGCGCCAAAAGGCCCATCGGGAAGGTCCGTGACAAGGGTGATGCCCGTGATCCCTGAAGGACCAAGGGCTAGCTTCTTCAAGTCAGTTGTGCCGTCCTTGGTCGAGGAAATTCCCATTTTGAGTCAGATCAAGCGAGACCCATATATCTTCATTGCGCATTGCTATGTTCCGGTCCTTAGTACAACGGTTCCTCACCTGAAAAAAAGGTTGAAAGTATTCGATTGGAAAGATATTCGATGTGATAAGACAGGGTATTACATCATTTTCGAGAATTCCAGGCGAGGCGAAGAAGAAACAGAACGTTGCTACAAGATGTGCCACATGAAACCGTTGTTTACCTACATCATGAATATGGAGAGTCAACCTTATGGAAACCCAGGCTATGAGCGCAGCCCCAGTCCACAACGATTGCAGGCAGAGCAGCGAGAACGAGCCAGGTTGGACAGAATCAAGAGAGAAGCTGAATTGGACATCGAGGAAGAGAAAAGCCAAAGAGCAAACGATTTGGATCCCTGCAAGGAAGTGGTAGCCATCATAGTTCGGGACCTGAAAGACAAATTGCTCGAAGACGTGAAGTCTCGGATTGCTGCACCAACTTTGTATGACTACCTCGACCCAGATCGACATGCAGCAAAAAGAAGACAACTGGGAATTCGTGATCCGGCAGGGGCAAAGAGACCTCTGTTTCAAATTGGCATAAATAGCCCAGCTGGGACACCAGATTCACGTTCGGACCTGTCCACAGCCCGCCACCCTTTCGGTCCCTCAAATCTGAGTATCCTTGCGCTTCCACGTATAAGGAAAGCTCACCGCCTCAACCACACAGACGCTGCTTTCTTGGACGAGAGGCGTAAACAACCTTTGCGGAGGAAAGAGGTTCGACCTCTCTATCACCGTCTACAACAATTACACCACGTGGATGATTCAGATGACGAGCAGAGGACGCCTTTCACAAGAGACACCGATGATCCGGACAGTCGTGCCCCAAGCCGGTTGAGCTCAGAGTGTTCGGATTCAGAGGATGTTGATGAACTCGCTCCGGAGGCCTACGGTGCATCTGCCGAGCAAAAAGTCGGCAATGACGAACATCTGTACAGTCCACCTCGAAAAGAAAATGTCGATATCTTGGTTGAATCGGTCACTGATGCCTCGCACGATGCTTCGTACCCTGAACAGCACAAACTCTCCCCGGCATCTCGCAAGCGAAAAAGAGAAAACGACAAAGTCATCGCGCGAAAGAGAAAGAAAGAAGATGGAGGCCTCTTTCAAGTCGATCAAGCCGCAGGTCTCAGTGAGGGACGATTGCACATGGAATCATCCATCGACTTGGAGGTCATTGAGAAGCATATTGCAGATGAGAATTCCCCTCTCGCGAGTGACAAAGATTCAGATAGTGGGCACATTAGTGAAATCCCGAAGCGGGCAGTCGATCCTGCGAAGCTTTTGCGGTCTCGACTGGCTGTTGAGGCTGACACTCAGGATGATGATCATGGTTGTGGCTTCACCCCCATTGCCCTAAATGACAACGAAGTCCAGAAAGAAGTGTCAAAGACTGAAATAGGATGGAAGGTTTCCAATGACGAGCCCCGCCCAACGGTCGAGGATGATGAAGCTATTGTGCTAGATCTCGATGGGTGGCAGAGTCTGATTAAGGATGGGGAGGACTTGCGTTTCCTCCGTGATGTGCTGGAAGGACTACCAGTATCGAACGTTGGAAGTCTCACTGCTTGGGCATGGAGACAAAAAGAAATCAAAGCCCTGAATCGCCCTGGAGAAGTAGGACCTGTGCGCGAAGCAACCAGTATCCTAGGCTACTATGTCTCAAACATCACGGGAGCTGCAAGAACCGAGGGGAGGAAGAGGATTCTGGAGTCGGAAAAGTCCAAATATTTACCGCACCGCATCAAGGTTCAACGGGCCCGCGAAGAGCGAGAGGCAAAAGCGAAAAACGACCCTCACAGTGTTGCTGTCGAAGCCGCGAGAATTGCTGCAGCCAAGACGATGTCTAAATCCACATCCAGATCAACAAGAGTCAATAATCGCCGACTCATCGCAGATATCAACGCACAAAAACAAGCCCTCCCAACTCAAAGCGGCGACGGTGATGTTCTTCGTTTCAATCAGCTGAAAAAGCGAAAGAAACCTGTTCGTTTCGCTCGATCTGCAATCCATAATTGGGGACTATATGCAGAAGAGAACATTTCGGCTAATGATATGATCATCGAGTACGTGGGTGAGAAGGTCCGCCAGCAAGTTGCTGACATGAGAGAGAGACGATATTTGAAGAGTGGCATCGGCAGCAGTTATTTATTCCGTATCGACGAGAACACAGTCATCGACGCGACAAAACGAGGAGGCATTGCGAGATTTATTAACCACAGCTGTACACCCAATTGTACTGCGAAGATCATCAAAGTGGATGGAAGTAAAAGGATTGTCATATATGCCCTGAGGGACATTGAAAGAGGTACGCTTTGTATCATCATTCCCTGATTTATTTGACATGCTGACACATCGATTAAAGATGAAGAGCTTACATATGACTACAAGTTTGAAAGGGAGTGGGACAGCGATGACAGGATCCCCTGTCTTTGCGGTTCCAGTGGTTGCAAAGGTTTTCTCAACTAAGAGTAAGATCGATCGAAGCTTTAAACCCCTGTATGCGAGCTATTCTCACAGTTGCAATTTGTGGTCAACTCCATATCCAAGCTGCCGTATAGTGGCGTTTTCATACAGACAACAAAGTAGCTTTAATATGATGGGGGTCAAACAATCTGGTACATTGCAAGGCCGAGAGCTCTTATCGAGGATGTAGTGCCGTGCCCATCATGATGGCGTCTATGCTCGACATGTAGTTAATGCCTTGTTCAATCCCACCAGCTGTGAAGCAAATGCCATCCCAGACGGCATATGTTAACAACCATAATCTATTGAAGAAAGGGCTAGGGCGGGTTTTTCTTCGGCGAAGCAGCAAGGAAAGAGCTCAGTCAAATACAGACGGGGTATCAAACAACAGTCTGATCATAGCACCAGCGCATGAAGAATCATGAAAGAAGAATTACACTATAGCGGAAAGCCGTCAGCATAGACCCGGATTTCCACGATGGAATTTTTCGTCTTACCGAGATGGCTGGGCAAAAGGAAATTAGCAATTCCTTCCTTGATCATATACTCATGACCGCAGTTGCCACAGCATAGTCTTCCTTCCACAACATGCGTCTCTAATAGCAGTCTGTGAAGATCTCTCATTGTTTGCTCATCATTGAGTGCATCGCCTTCAGGCTTCGAATCAGGAATCTTAGGGAAACCCAGCTAAGTCAATTGAATGAGTGGCCTGAATAAACTTTTCTTGTGGATAGTAGCTGCACACTTACCTCATTGGCCATTACGCGTAGACCTTCCCAATCAATTCGTGGGATAATATTGTGTATGAATTCCGGCTGAAAGTCGACCTCTTGCAGTTCGAGTTCAGCATCCTTGAAATGCAGTGGGTAGGACGACGCGGCTGCTTTGCAGCCTTTGACAGCACATGTCAGAAAATTAGCAGTAAGTAACTTCATTGCTGTTGAGGATGGTTGAGCGACTCCTCGATATGAATGTATAGCTGGGATTGTCTTGCAGTGGCTTAGCTGTTGGTTGGGTGAGCGGCAAAAACGGAATGGGCTGTTTTTAGGTTACGTTATCGGTTTCCTGTGTAATAGGGTGTTCTATATACCGTACATGTGGGTGAAATTTGCTTCACCCTTGTGATTTCAACCTTGTTCCTCAACAGTATACATGAATTGCTGGACCATCTCTCGCCCTAAAATTTACCTGAGTAGACTTAATGAAATACAGAGAAGAGAATCCTTCCACCTAGATTTGACTATGTTCTTCTCCAATTTCTCTGAACTTGGTTATGTTCATCACGTGCTATACTATATTGCCGGTACAAGGAATGTGCAAACGTCACAAGAGTATTAGGTTTTGGTCACCGAAATTTGTTACTTGACTATTACATCCAGGAGATCATCATTTGCAAGATCATAATCTTCAAGAGCACATCCAAGGTCTAAGCGTTCACCATCAAATACAAGGTAAACCTCATGCTCCAGCGAAATCTGTCTCGCATCACGGAATAGGCGAATCAGCTGCGAGACCTGCATTTGAAGACTCACCCTCAATCTAAGATCATCTAGCCCCGGGGCCTTTAAAACGATATTTTTCAGAGATAGCTCGCCGCTGTCCAAGTTTACACCTGGCGCTAGCTTGGCAGAAGACAACGACCGACTGTTGTCGGGATCAAGAGGATTATCAGTAGCGGCTTCCATGTGAATTTGCAGGTCAGAGCTGTCACTTCGTAATGAATCACAGGCAACAGGCCCATGCGCATGGCGACACTTGGGTCCAATTCCCAGACTGCGACATGTGGTGACATCGAAAAGGCGTTTCCCTTTCCAAGTCAGGAAGATAGAAGACTCGAGCCCCTTCGGTAGGTCTTGACGATTTAACCATGCAAGGCGCACATCTTTCAGTGGCTGATGCATTTTTCGGCGAACTATGAGCGGCTTGGTGTTACTGATTTTCGAGGTGATGAGGATCTGGACTATCGTATCTTTGGACGATGTAAGCTTCTTGCTGGGTGTCAAGTGGGGTTTAGTAGGGCTCAGCCTAATCGAGGGTTGAGAGTTATCAATGCAAGTTCTCTTGCCTCCACTAGGGTTCTTTACAGCCGATGTGCCAGAAGTAACAATCTCATCCCGAGATTTTGACGCCAACCCAGGTATCAGGTGGTCAATACCACTGGGATCTGTCACTCCTGGTCCGTGCGATAAAGCATCTGGAGCTTGGCTGCTGAGCTGATCTTCGCTTCCATGTACAGATCTGCGATTGAAAGTGTTGCCATTGGATGGCAGTTGATGACTGAGAGATTCGTCAGAGATTTTGCAGGTCCCCAGCGGTAATGTGTCACCACCATGATTCTCAATGGGAGTACGTCGCCGTTTGATTTCAGTTTCTTGAATTTGGTTGGCACGTCGCGCATGTTGATTCGTGGAAATTATATCATTGTACACTTGACTAGCATGTTGATAAAACTTGAGGTCCTGAGTTTCCTCTCCCCTGCTTGCCCAAGATGGCTTATTGAAAAAGGATCGCATCGAAAGGGCTCTGAATTGACAACCGTAAATTCTAGACTTGTAATGAATGCAGATTCTGGGTGACTGGGCAGAGACCTCGGAATGGAAGTAGACACGATGGTCTTAAAAGAGAAGCGGTGATATCCTAAAGGCGACTTTTCAGCATTCTATTGTGGTAGGTGGTGGATTACAATCCGCCGTTTGATTAGAGAACACGTGCCTTAACTCTGGAGACTAGTGCTGGCTTCCGGGGCTAGAAGTTCCCTGACAAATCGAGAACAACTTTCGCCAGCGGGGCCGACTCTCAGACTTCTGAAAGTTGCTGAATCTAGGATCACCAACTTATCCAAATTCAGTTCTGTCAAGATGGAGAATGGTGCACCTTCTGAAGGGAAAGATCCCTCGGCTTTCCTTGGCGAAATAATCGGTGCTCCAGTGACTATTAAATTGAACTCCGGTGTTGTTTATAAAGGTACCTTCCCGAGCTACTTTGTTCGACTACCTGCTCATATCCCAACTGGAATCCCAGCTTGCGAGGATGGGTGTGGCAAAGATGGAACAACTTACCGATATTTTCAACTTCTGAACCATTGCAAGCTGACATACAATCTCCTAGGTGAACTGCAGTCTGTAGATGGCTACATGAACATAGCTTTGGAGAAATCTGAAGAGTTTGTCAATGGCCGATTAACACGGAGCTATGGTGATGCTTTCATCCGCGGCAATAATGGTTCGTTTGAATCATATCCATGAGCTAGTGGTCTTATACATGCTTATCCTGATCCACATGGAGTAGTGCTGTACATATCCGCAGATTGACGAATTAAACCGTTAATATCACCTCGATCCTCCGAAGGAGATTTGCGAGTTCTTTACCAATTCAACAAATTCTGAGGGACCATCGCCTTACTCGACCCTTGCGGTAGAGGGAACCATGAAGGAAAGCATTGCCGTGGTAATGAATTGAATTATGGAGAATTGGGTTCGAGCTTGAAGGCCAGTGCAAGTTCTGTGCGGACTGGGTAAATCTCACACCTCTCCCTGGTACAGTGCCCTATGGAGATTAGCAAATCAAGTTCAGAGACTTAGGCCAGAGACAAAACATGATCAACTGACACGGTCTCTGGTGCACATCTTCATCAAATAGAAAGGGTCACTAGAAATAGGTGGAGACGTGGTAGGGGCTAAGTTACTTATTCTTCTCTACAAGAATATAACATGTAAAAACTTCCATAGAAAGAAAATTGAACCTTGAAGGGTGTTATGCTGCCTGGGCCAGGTGTTATGCTGCCTGGGCCAGGTGTTATGCTGCCTGGAACAGGTGATAGTCCTACCTGAGTAGGTAGTGAGTAGTACGACCTAGTGTGCTCGGCTCAGAGGCTTGAAATTCCACTTGCCACATTCTCCCCACCAATTAGACCGCCTGTACCTAGCAACGCCTCCAAACAAACGAGAAGGACTTCCCCACCGGTTAAATATCAGAGCAATACAGTCCAGCCAACACCTCTGTCTTTTCTTTGTCTCCATTGGTAGCGTTTCTAGCACTTCGAAATTACGGGACGGTCCATTGATCCTTTTCTGAGGTGGATATCGCAAACATGACTTTGCAAGCCATCAAATATCGAGACGGTGTCCTCGCAATTCTCGACCAATTGCAACTTCCCTACGTGGAAAAGTATATTGATGTCAAGACGAGTGAACAAGCTTGGCATGCTATTAAGACTATGCAAGTCCGCGGTGCGCCGGCTATCGCCATAGTAGCAGCACTTGCCCTTGCGTCTGAGCTTCACCTACTGATTTCAAATGAGGGGTTATCTTCAGATGCAGACGAAGTTCGTCTTTTCATTATAGAGAAGCTGCAATACCTGGTGAGCAGCAGGCCCACGGCTGTCAACCTAGGTGATGCTGCGCGAAAGCTCGAGCTCGTGGTGTCTCAGAGTGCTAGCCAGGCTGGGGCGACAGGTCACGGGGTTGCTGTCTCCTTTATAAAAGCCTCGGAGGCGATGTTGGTAAAGGATGTTCAAGACAACAAGCAGATTGGGGAAAATGGCGCTAAATGGATCATGTCGAATGCGGTGGTTCCGGGGCAGTCAGAGGCCACTGTTTTGACTCATTGCAATACAGGGTGAGTCCACCATCGAGGAGAATCGGGATTTGAATTTCTAACATTCATCCAGGTCTCTAGCGACATCCGGTTACGGAACGGCCCTGGGAGTCATCCGCAGCTTAGCATCAATGAATAGTCTGCGGCATGCGTACTGCACTGAAACAAGACCTTACAACCAAGGTTCTCGGCTCACGGCATTCGAACTAGTTCATGATTGTATTCCCTCCACGCTGATAACAGACTCTATGTCCGCCGCACTACTTGCAAATTCCAAGGCTGGTGTGAATGCGATCGTCGTCGGTGCGGATAGAGTCGCAGCCAATGGTGATACTGCCAACAAAATAGGGACGTATGGACTTGCTGTCCTGGCAAGATATCATGGTGTGAAGTTCCTCGTTGCCGCGCCACTCACCACTATCGATTTGTCGACCAAATCTGGAAATGACATTGTGATAGAAGAACGGCCGGCCGATGAGGTTACTCAAATCAAGGGGCCCTGTGAAGGCGATACGTCTAAGGGCGGAAATTTGGAGACTGTGCGTATAGCTGCAGAGGGAATCAACGTTTGGAACCCAGCATTTGATATCACACCAGCTACACTGATTGATGGAATTATAACAGAGAAAGGGGTCATGGAAAAGACAGCGGACGGTCAATTTTATTTGGCGGGTCTGTTTGAGGATTGATTGCCAACTGCCGGCTGCGGATGCGTCTCCATCTGGCCAAGTTCAGTGTCGCTGGAGGACACGGCCTTGCCACTATTGCATTGGCGAAAAAGCTCATCAATTCTGGTTTCGAGTTCACTCAGGTGCTTCTCCAGGGCCAGCGCTGCTTCCTCGCCTCTGGTTGAATAACGATCAGTTGTGTGTCCGCAGAACTGCGTGATGTGTACTATGCTCGCACTTAGCTATTTCTTTAAAGGCCTATTTAGTATCATTAGCAGCTGAGGTTGCCTGGGGGATCTCGACTTCATGTTGAACTGGGGAGTGTGACGAAGGTTTTACAAACTTACCATGGTAAATTCACTGGAGACATTCTGATCTTCCAGGGAAGGCATCTTGGATATCTGTATGTTGGGCTATAGAATTTTTAAAAAATCGTGTGGAGGTGATAAGTGTGCCAGGAAAATGTTTAGTACAGTCAAGGGGAAAGTGATTACAGAGTATTTCAAACTCCGCCTTTGTCTTAGATAGTTTATCTATTAGGATTCTGCCGTCTGTGTCAGATTTGTTCAGCTATGCTCATATTCTGTGGTTTATTCGATGTCCACCTGTCTGACCGTCATTTATGGTAGCAGCAGAACTTTCTGTGTTAATTCCTCTGATTTTATAATTTATCTTCATAGGAGTTTATTATATTGATCACTCTTATTAAGATTCTTGAACTGGATCTCAAAGTACAAACTAGGCCTATGAAGTAAGTTTATCATAAAAAGGAAAACAAGACAGAATGTTGAGAAGCCAAAGAATACTAAAGGCAGAAAATATAGTAAATGTGATATTCAGAAGTACAAGAAAGAAACAATAGAAATTAATAAAAAGATTAGCTGTTCAGCTAATACTACCTGCAGTTCTAATTCACTGTATGGATCAGCTCTGACTGCACATCTATTAATCCAGTTGTATGGACCCAACCGGCCCTTTCAATCTTGGCAGTTATTACAGAAAGAAGTTTATGTAACAGATTTGACATATCAGTTATGTAATTATTAAACAAGCTGACTATATTATTTATAAAAAATAAAAGCTGTTTCAGAAATCAAAGAAATATTTTATTTTATTACATTATTCTAATAATTTTAATCTTATAATTATATTATTTATATTTTATGAAATAATCTGTTCAGTAATAGCTAACTACAATATATATATGATAGAAAGTATAGATTTCATAACTAAATAAGTTACTTAATATTAGAAACTATATGACAGTTGCAGCTGATGAGTATAAATATAATAAAGTCGATTATATTAGTTAGTTTACTATTTCTTATAAGAAACCAGCAGATAAAAGAACTACTAAAAACAAAAAACAACAGTAGAATTAATAGAAATAATCTAAACTGTTATATATTGTTACCGTTTGTTTATTTATCTATAATAATATTCTGCTGTTTATTTGTATGGCCATTTTTCTTACTGTTTTAGCAGCGAAACTTCAAGATTATTAATTCTTTCTATTTTTTATTATTTTAAATAATTATAATTATATTAATAAATTATATTAAATTTTGATTATAATATATAATAGCATATCCTGCAGCTATTTACATATATTTTAGTATATTTTTTTAAAAAAAAAATATACTACTTTTTTATTATTCTTATATTTATTTTTTATTTTTATTAATTTTTATATTTTTAAGTATTTTATAGTCTGTTTTTTATATTTTATATTTATAGTTCTGCCGGTTGCTATATTTTTTATTTTTTAATTTATTTATTTTGTTTTTATTTATAGATTATTAGGTCTGTTAAGTCCTATTTTAATTATTTAACTAGTTAAACCGAACTCTATATATATTTACTATTCTTAAAATTATTTTTTTATTATTTTACTTTATATTTATTTACTAACTATATTATTTTCGATTATATTATATCTATATCTATTAATTTTAGTATACTTTTATCTTTCTGTTTAATTATTTATTATATTGATACTTTTAAATATATATCTAATTATTATAATCTTAATATTATTAAGTATTATTAGAAAGTTCCGGACTATTTATTTATAATATCTAATATTAATATATTAATATCTATATCTAGCTTAGAATTAGTATATTAAGTTATATAATTCTTTACATTATTGATAAGTCTAAATTAAGAATAATTTAATATAAATATTTTATTTTATATTTATTATATTATTTACATTACTTCTATTTTTATATCTGTTTAAAGTTATCTATATTTATTTTCTTAAAGTATTAACAAATCTGTTTTAAATAAAAATATTTATTTCTTTTTTAAAAGTCTAATTATCTTTTTAAACCTAAATCCGAACTATTTATATAGTAATTTTAAAATCTAAAATCTTAAAAAGTACCGACTAATTATTTTTAAACTATTTG